TTCAATGTTATGTAAATCTCCTTGATTTTGATGGATTTGATTTTCAGGGTTTCCCAAAGTGTTTTCATTGTTATTGTTGGTGTTGTTGTTTGACATGGTTATAACAATGGACAAGATGTAGCTTAAAAGAAAAGATTATCAGAGTCCCGGCAACGGAACCAATTTGTTTAACCAAAAATATGGGGTCTTTGGTCAAAGCTAGAAAGAAATTCGGGTTACTGATAATCAGGAGACGAAAATAAAATATTTTTGAGAATGATGGTAAAGCAGTAAATAGTTTTGTATTTCAGTAAGATCTCAATAGTCTTTCGTGTCCTCACAGATGTTGAGTCTTTCCCCTTTTATAGTTGATTCTAGGAGAAGATATAATGTCTTTGTCTTATTGAGGCAATTATGAGCAATAAATGATATTTAAAAGAAACGTTACATAATCATTTCTATTTAATTCAGATTCTCTAACGTATTTGACATTTAATGTTGTATTTAAACTCTTTTACGTCATCAGATTCGTATCTTCAACTTCTTCTGATCTTTGATCTTTAAACGACTCGAATAGGTACGAGACTCGTACCTACTTTAGTAACGGTCCACACCTATGTTGCTTTCTTTTCCCTCTATCTGTTGTCGCCCGTGCCTCTTGGCTATTTATTGCGTTTTGACCTTTTGACTAGTCCACGTGTCATGACACGTCATCTTCAATATTCAGACTCAGTTTTTTTCCAATACAGATAGTCCCCCCACTTTCCATTTATTTATCNTGACACGTCATCTTCAATATTCAGACTCAGTTTTTTCCCAATACAGAGTTGTATCTATATATCTTGTTATAAGCATTGTATTGTATAATAAATAAGTTCACAATGGTTAATTGTGGAAAGAATTAATCATGTACAATTGTGTGCACCTTGATGAAAACACAGTATGATCTGCTGTAATTGAGGTTTTATATGTAAGTTTGACTTTTAAGAGTTCAATAAATCCTTTCTTGTTTAGCACTAATTACATTATCTTAATCAAAAACTCTTTTAGTTATGCTTTAAAATTGTTTATGCGTGACAATAAATGAATCAAAATAGCACTTCTTAGTTTGCAAAATAATTTTCATTAAAATAGACTTAAAGAGTAAAAGTAATTGATAAATATAAAGCGATAATAAGCAATTTTTATGTCCGAAAACTGACTTTATAAATAACCATTTTGAATAGACTTCATAAAATTGATTATAAGTAGCAGTACGTTTGGTTAAAAAAAATGATGATGAGCATTTTTTTCTGTTGTATAAATCTTAAAGATTTTTGAATGAAAAAGGCCGAATTCAAAACTAGAATGTTAGGATGATTACATAAAATATTAAAAATAAGTACTAAAAAGCTTCATCAAACCATATTGAAAAGTTGTAGTAAAAGTTTGGGGTAACTTAGCGTTTGACCATAGATTTCCTAATTTGCTTTGAAAAATCTAATATATGTGAAATTTAGTTTGAAGATAAAAATGTGTTTGGACATACGTTTTCAAAACATATTTCCCAAATTTATTTTGGAAAAACATCTATATTATTAGAGTGTGTAAAGATTTTGGCCCAAAACCAGCTTAATAGTTGGTTTTGGGATTTGGAATTTGGAATTTGGAATTTTCCAAAAGCGTAATGGCTTCCTGGCCACTTAAACTTGTAGGGCTTTTAAAAGCCGATACATGAACTTGCACTTTTCCCATTTGAACACTCCAACTTGATGCAATAGATACTAATAAACACATTTGACCGTTGATTATGCTACATGGAAGCGGTGCAGCTGACATGGCTAAATTGTGTGCAAATCACGCTACAAAGGCGCGTGGATTGTATTATTTTTATTAAAAAAATATGAGAATCAAAATAAAATATAAATGAGACCAAAAATGAAAAGAAAAAAAGAGACCTTTCCCTTTTCCCTTCTCTTTTCCCCTCCCTCCCAGCGTCTGTCGTCTTCCCCACCAAAATAAATCGTCCATGCATTTTGTTGCATCCATTTTTGCTCTCTTGTTCTCTACAATACTTTCTTTTTCTCTCTATATATATGTAAATTTGCACCTGTATAATTGAATCTATAAATCTTTGTTCTATTTATCTTCATCGGAACTATAACCCGCCACCGACCACCGTCGTTATTTTTTTTCACAATGTTACTTTGACCCACTTTTTTTTTGGCTTAAGATTCAGTTCAAGATTCTATAATTTTATGCTCATTTGCATGTCTAGTGCTGGAGTTATTTCTTTTTCTTTTTTTTTAGTTTCTTGGAGTTTATTTGATCTGGGTCAGTTGATTTGTTAACGGGTTTTTTCTTAGGGTTTTGGTTGATTTAAGAGTTGATTAATAAGATTTGACTGCTAAAAAGTAAAGCAGAGAAAAGAGTTTACAGGAGAGGTAGTCAACAGTGATAGAGATGCCGGAGATGGTGGTGAGACGGAGGTAATCGAGGGTGTTGAAATTGGCAATAGTCTTAGTAAAAGGTGGGTTTCGTTCTATAACTAGGTATTCCGGCTTTGCCAATGCTGTTATGTTTGTGTTCATCTTCCTTATTAGCAACTGCTCTTTTGGCCGGTCGCCGGCGACGGGACGCTAGGATGGTTTTTAATCGGAAAATACAAGTGACAGTAGTTGTATATGTTCATCTTTGCTATAATTGTGGGTGACTGATTAATACAGGTGTCAAAAAAAGTGAATGAATGGATGATGTGGCTATGCAATATATTGAATTAAATCCATGTCAGCAGCAACTGAACAACACGCATTATTATAAGTGTTTATTAGTAGCCATTTTTTCAAGTAAAGGTGTTCAAATGGGAAACCCAAGATATTATATATCGGCTTTATAAACTGATGCAAGTTTAAGTGGCCAGGAAGCCCTTGCGCCTTTTCCCAAAATATAGGCAAAATCTATGGCCAAATATGTATTTGCCAAATAAAACCCAAGTTTATTTTGGCAAAATCTATGGTCAAACGGGTCCTAAGAGCCCGTTTGGACATAAGAAATTTTTCCCTTTTTTTCCAAAAAAAAGATCATTTTTTTCCCGAAATCAGCATTGTTCATAAAATTTTCAATTTTCAGTTGAAGATGCATTTTTTAAATTTTCGAAAATTTAAAAAACTCCAAAACTTTATTTTTCAAATTTTTCACTCAATCACTTACAAAATTTCAAAAATAACCCAAAATTATATTCATGTCCAAACACAGCTCGGAGCCCATTTGACATTAAAAAATTCTCTTTTTTCCAAAAAAAATTAACTTTTTTTCGAAATCAACGTTTGTTCATAAAATTTCCATTTTTTATTTGAAGATACATTTTGAAATTTTTGGAAAATTTGAAAAACTCCAAAAAGCTATTTTTTAAAATTTTACTTAAATCACTCACAAAACTTGAAAAACGACCCAAAATAAAATACCATTTTGATTTGAATTTTTTTTAAAATTTTACAATTGTTATGTCCAAACGCCCACTAAATTTGGTTTATAAGCTCTTGGTAAATAAGGGAACAGAGCAAAGGAACAAAAATATCTGTGTTCACAACAGAAACAAAGGAAACAGAGGGAGGGCAGAGAGGGGCAGCGAGCGGGCGATATCACCATAGAAAGAGGAGGAGTTGTATATAGCAGAGAGAAAAAGGAAAAGCTTTAGAGAGAAAAAGCAAAGAGAGATGAGGGGGGTCTCATCATTTCCCTTTCTTCTCTTCTTCCTTTCCTTTTCTCATAATTTCATCGCAGGTTTGAATTCTCCCCAGATCTTTACATTACCAATAATCAGATTCATTCAATTATATTTTAGTTATGTCGATTTTAATGGGTTATATCGCAATTATATTGGCAAATATTTCTCTTAGATCCGCCCTGTCAAGTATTTGAAAATAAACTTTATACATTTAGAACAAAAAGTATTTGAAAATGTACCAATAAGTGTGATCAAAGAAAACATTAAAAAAAATAATAGAAATTTAGTATCTAGGAAGCTAAAATTGGGCTGTAATGGTCCGATGTTATGCAAAATTCGTAATTTATTTTCGATTTTACTGTCGTATTGGGATAAGGGTTGTGTGTGAAAAGGTTGTCGTTTGCTAATTATTATCGGTGTAATCTTATATATCTGGGTATCACCATTATTTTAAGCAGGTATGTTGAACTAGGGATGAGAAAACTTTGAAACTGGGGTCTTTTGACAACTTCAAGGAAATGAAAAAGATCTTGTTTTGATGTCACATAAACTCAATTACAGCTTCATGTTTTATTTTTTATTTTTTCCAAATGTATGACTATGGTTTGTTACAAGAGATATTCTAACACCAATTCGATGCAGTTTACTACATGCAATTATCAGACCAGACTCGTTTTTTAAGTCGAACCAAGCACACGAAAATTCTTTCTGATAATAGACTTGAACTCGTGATGTCTGTTCTGATACTATGTAGAACTGTATGACCATCTTATCTTAACTTTTAAGCTGTTGGAGAGGAGATATGCTTATCTATCTATTTTAGGTACACAACAAGTACTCTTAGGGGTCGTTTGGTTGGGAAACCAGTTAGTTCATGATTAATTTTCCCGGGATGAGTTATTCCACCCTCTCGTAGGGATAAAAAAAAATACTACAATCCCAGAAAAATTAATCTCGGGATTAATTATACCATGATTTTGTCCCAACCAGATAAACTCAGCACAAATTTAATCCCGGGATTAATTATCCCTTATCCCTCGACCAAACGAGCCCTTAACCTTTAAGTTAGCCAAATATCTGTGAATAAGATTGGTTTTGGGTTTATTTCCAGCTATCTGGTTTTGCATGGCCGAATAAACCTTGACATGGAGTCAATGTGCTTCAAAAAGCTCGCTTCCCATAAGCATTTCTATCATTTGATGTTTTTCTGTCCTTGTTCGAAGATACCAGGAACAGACCCCATCAAAACTGTTTATGGTTACATTTTCATGAACTAGCTTTTGTATATTTGAGTTTGGTTTCATTTTGTCAGTTTGATTGCGTTATACGTATGTTTTCACTTTCAGGCTTTTCAGATGATTCTTCAAATCCCAAAAATGGAACAAAAACTGATAGTCATGCTGCAACCAGCAGTCACACTGGGTCAACGATACTCGTTGTATGCCTTGCCCTTGTGGCGATAGTGCTTCTAGCATTTTTCCTTTTCAAGTTTTGGCAAAAGAAGAAGCGCGAAGAGCAGTATGCTCGTCTGCTAAAGTTGTTTGAAGAAGATGATGAGCTAGAGCTTGAGCTCGGTCTTCGGGATTAAATTTGTACCAGATGTTGACAATCAATCTATTGAGGTGAGGCTCCTTATTGTGCTTGCTCTTTTCCTTGGAAATCTAAAAGGAAAAAAGCAATGTTGCTCTGCTTTCTACTCCTAGCGCTTAGTGGAATCATAGAATTATTGATTGGTGGTGAGCATAATGCTGTTAGCACAACTGTTTTAAGAAGACATTCGCTTTTTTGGGTGTTTCAATGTTCAGCACACTAACACTGATCAACTGCATGGAACAATCATAGTTTAAACTTTAAGCTATGTAGTTCTGGTGTCTTAATAGTAAACATATGCAGAAACTTCAGCATGATATGAAAAATGCTTTTACCACTATCAGTGTCATACCTGAGCAAAGTAACTCTTTCAGCCAATAGGTTTCTGCCAGACTTTGTCGTATAAAAATGGGAAGGAAGGAGCAAATATTACTCAATGTGCACCTTGCTATGTTTATCACCTTATATATTTGTGTGGGTAGTCTTAGAGTCATCTTTTGATAAAGATTGTTTATTTGCTTTAGTATTTTCCAAAGAAAATGTCAATTACCTATTGACATTTTCTGTAGTATGCTTTTATATTTCGTACAGTCTTCTTCTATTTCCTTTGTTAGTAAGTTGGCATGTCTACTCTTTGTTATTGTGCTTAAAAAAAATATGGTTCCCCTTAGCTATTTCAAAATTGTATCAAGCTAATATGGTTTGTACCCCTTCTTTTGTCAAATATGAAGCCGCTACACAATTTTACTTTTCTCCTTTGCTGAATATTTTAATCCGATATTCTGAAATTCTGTGTTGTGGCTGTCTATTTTGGCAAACAATATTGGGATGTGGAACTTATCATATTTTATAAGCATGAGCTTTTAAATTTAATGGCTTACATAAATGCCGTAATAGTTTTTCTTAAAAAATTTAAGGTCAGTGCTTGTATGCTCTATGGAGGTCAAGATTCAATTCTGTGAAATACATATGCTCTATGGAGGTCAAGATTCAATTCTGTGAAATACATACTTTTCTATGGTGAATGTGATGGTTGTAACCCATTTCTTAGAATTCTCTGATTCGGCCTTGACACCTAGGGGTTCTCCGGGAGGGCCAGCACTATTGTTGGATGTGCATGTGGTATGTTCTACATAGTTTCTTTTGATCGTTTATAACTTGGCAGGTATGTTATCCTTTGTTTAGGCTTTGAGGAGTGTCATTGCTTGGTGCATGAACTGGTCATGCTGATGAGGAAGTGTCATTTTTTTCCTTTCCAAATGCTGATATGTTATAATTTTTTTTATCCGATATCTGCTGAAACTGTAATACTATGTGATGCTGTCAACTATCTATATTGAGTAGTCTAGTTTTTTTTTTTGCATCTGACTTTTGCTTTGAATTACTATTTAACGCAGGGGCAGATGCAAGTAATATCCTAAATTCAGATTCTTGATTCAGAGATCACAATGGGTTGGATGATTCCAGAATCTTGGCATAATCAAGAGAATCTTTATTTCACAGTTGTAGAAATATGTACCAGTATTAGCAGAACCAAAATTATCATGCATTCTTTTTTTTGGAGACAGATTGATGGATGACAAATATTGCCAAAGGTCGCCCTTCCAACTCAGCAATGTAATTCATCCTTCACAATTCACATATTCACTCTGTAATAGTTGTGTAGTAGGTATTTGCAGATTGTTAGATGGCTTTGAAACATGAGGTATATTTTTTCACAAAAGCTCAAATGAGCTAAACTGTATCTAAGTGTACACATTTACTTTTGTACCCTCCGATGTAATGTTCGGCCTACTCTTTTTGTGTGAGTGGAAGATGATCTCTCTTCCCTTAATAAGAAGTCCATCCTTGTGGAGTACTAGTTAAGCATTAAACACCCATGAAGTTTCTTAATGTTTGGTCCGAAACATAGTTTCCCTTGGTTCTGGACAGAACTTTCTTCATATCTATTTAGGGATTGTTGTTGTCCTCCTCCCTTCCTTCGATTTTCTGGTTCTTAGGTTGCTGGTATTATCTTTCTGGCCTTGTTTCTTTTCGTTTTCTTGAGCCGAGGGTCTATCCGAAGCCGTCTCTCTACCCCACCAAGGTAAGAGTAAGGTCCGCGTACACGCTACCCTCCCCGACTTCACTTGTGGGATTAAACTGGGTGGTTATTGTTTTGCTCTCTTCTCCTTTTTTAATGGTGGCACTGCTTTCCCTTCTTCCTTGCCACTCAACCTGTGCCAAATCTTCAACCTCCATTTGTCCAAGACTACAATTCATCATTCTCAAAAGAATGGAGATGAAAAAGAAACTTGATAATTGTCTAAAAAATTTGAACTTATAGATTAAGGAAGCAGTTTAATGGATAGTGTTACAGTGCCTTTTTTTTTTCCTCTCTTTTATTTTGCGATAACAAGGCTGGTGGGAATATTGGACTTTTACTCACATGGTGCATCCTTAACCATCAAAGTTCTTAGGCTTCATGTTAGAGTTAGAACTAACTTCAGCGTGAAGTTACAGTTTAACAGCAAGGAACTGAAGCATAGGTACAACTTGAAGTGAGATATTCAGCATACTCATATATCAAGCTTATGTTCTCAATATATTTATTCAGAAGTTAAAGCAGTTAGTCTGCATTCAAATAATACATGAAACATCGTGAGTATTCAATAAGAATGAAATTATTGTAATTGCTTTAACACATTGACCACTAAACCTAGATTAAGACTAAAGGTCAAAACCTCTAGGAAAGATGGTTACAGAAAAAAGCCATTAGACCTATCTAAAGAAGCTGCCTGGGGGATGCCTGCATTCCGTACCAGAAGCAGACTCAGAAGTCGTACTAATCAGGCGGATAAGCTATATTTTGGGCCTATCACTAGACAGGCAATCAGCATTCCAGCAATTAGGGGTCCCCTGATGACCAAGAATAGGTGTTATCTTCCCGTCTTTGCTCGTTTCATTCCTGTATTACTAAATGGAGACATGCTAGGGCTCATTCGAGGACTCATGCTCGGGCTTTCTTCCCTTAATGTACCATTTAGCATGGCCAATTCCCTTAGTTGTTGTTTCTTATAAACATCCATAGATTCATCCTGATACAGGCAAAGTGAGGGAGAAAAAAAGTCAAAAGGGCTAGATAAAAGTTGAAAGCAAATGATGGCAAATGGCAGCAGCTATATCGTTTTAACTCGTACCACGGGCTTTAAGAGGTTCTCTAGGATTGAAACTGCATGATCAATACGGGCGTCAATGATGTCTTCCGGAAATTCAGCCTCCACCAGGAGATGTAGTGGCTCTTTGAGGTGCTCGTACCCAGGTTTATCTTTCAATTTCTCTTCCTACACAAGGTGGGAGAGAACAATGTGAAATTGCAAAAGAGAAAAACAATAAACCTTGAGCAATTTAAAACTACTTGTAATTTAGACAACAAAAAGATTCAGGACATTACAACTACTCTGACAAAGACAAAGGATGTGTGTGTGTGTGTGTGAGAGAGAGAGAGACTTCTCTTAGAGATGCATACTACGCATTCACGAACCAAGGCATAGTAAATGTTAAGTTATTCAAGCTTGCTCTTTTAACAATTATTGAGCAAGAATAGTAAGAGGGCCCAATACCTTGATAGAGTCCTTCACTGAGCCTTGACCTCTGATGTAGACTCTACATTCTGTAATGGCTTCAACCCTCTTTAGGGAATTCCCACGTGGTCCCAGAATTCGACCGACAAAATTAAACTGCATGATTTTAACTTGGTTAAGATCTATTTCAAAATTTAGGAAGACAATGAGAAACATTAAACACCACTTTAATAAGGTTTCACATACATTTGGGAACTTCTCCACTGGAACATCCAGTCTTATGACTTTCTTCACAACAGGAGTGGTTGCAGTTCCCGGCACAACATGCCAATCCAGGGGGGAAGGTTGAAATGGAGCCATTTTCTGGAGGAGTCTGTTTTCCTGTAGTAATTACATAATATCAAGTGGTAAATCCTCCAACAATGTCCTCAAGCAGTTATTCAAACTCCTTTAAGTTATGAAAATAGAATTAACAAATATATTACACAAGCAAAGAGGTGTCAACTACTTACAGTATCTATACTGGGGACTAGGACTAACAACTCCTACAATTTCTGACTAACACCAAACAAGAAGTGCTTTTCTTCGATTCTAATTATGGCTAACTAGGTTCTGTTTTTTGCTTGACAAGGAAGCAACAAGTGGGAAGAGAAATGGAGGTTATATTTTCATGAAAGTTATCCACATGCAAGGACGACAAAACAATTAATAGATAACATTTTCTGTGAACAGCAACAAGTCCGTAATAACATCTGAGTTGGCAATACCATCATCAACAAAGGCACTATTATTGATAACGATGTATGAGAATCCCACCTACTGCACGTGCCAGTTCTTTCTAACATTTGCAGATAGGCATTCCCACCTACTGCACGTGCCATTTCTTTCTAACATTTGCGGATAGGCATAGTGTCCTGAGGCTCAAACTAAACAGATGTTGAAACTACCAATTGAGCTCAGTATTTCCGGAGCTTAAGAAAGTGAACTACAATTACAGTGCTTGAATTCCCACATTTAGTATTAGAACTGCTCAGATACAGAATAAACATCAATTATAATGCTTGAATGGTGTGCTATAAGCCTCTGGTGTCCAAGAAACACATTAAGTAATTTACTTCCAATTGATTTCTAAAATTAAAGGTATGCTAAAAATAGAGCAACTAACTAGTTAAGTTCTATAAAAACACATAGTTTGAGAATCAAGAAAAATCATATTACTGAAATCAACAATGTTATACAAACAACTCTTGCTCACACTCTTTAATTGAAGGGAACCAGTATGGAAGTGTATGACCACATTAAGAACAATAGTCATGACATGATTACATACCGAAGTATGACCCATTAAAGCCATACATACCTAAGCTAATTTCCATGAAGAAAGAAACTTATCATACCTCAGTTTGCATTGCACTCCATGCCCCTACATTTATCTGACCTCCATTCATCTGTTGACTGATCGATCTATGTGGACTCTCTTGTCCCATCCTTTCCTGATCTACAAACTGATTTGACAACAATGCCGATGCTCGCATGATTTCTGCAGAAGTAAGAAATCCAAGACCTTATTCAGTCACTAAATAGGATGCTTCCGTCAATTTACCTTCCACAAGATTTCAGCTAAGGCTGTCAGTGGTGGATTCACCAAAGCCATCCATAAGACACCATTTTTGGCTTCATGTTAACCATATTCAATTTCATCCGTTTTAAACAAATAGTAATGTTACCCACATTTGAAGTTTGTAAAATAAGCATGCCAATAAGATGACCCAAATGAATAATTTTTCCTAGAACTACTTCACAAGCCCTTGCCACATCCGCTGTTAAATGCACGAGCTAGAGAGCACAATATTAAGCTACAGGGTCAAACTCGACATCAAATTTCGCATTGATACAAAAAGTTCATCATTCCAGGACTAGAATGATAAAGAAGACGAGCGAAAGAAAGTGGAAACCAGACATTTTTCTCGGTCATGCTTTCAACCAAATTCTGATTTGTAGATTTGTATCCGGAACAGCTACTTAGAGACTTCTGTTTGGTAACTTAGCATTAGGTAAATAAATCTTTTCCTATTCCACTTAATGATTTTTCAGTTAGTTACTTAAAAGTGTTTGCATCTTACTTTAGAATACTCCTGATCTCAAAAGTCAAACAATAGAAGTTGCTCTATTTTCCTGTATTAAAAACTTGTATAAAATAGGAAATAAGAAAAGTGACAAAAACTTGATGAATTCTTTGAACTCAATAAAGTTGGTAAATCTGAATTTATTAACTTTTCTTGTGAAGCTTTTCTAGCTAATTTGATGCATGGTGGTTAATAAAGCTTTAACTTTGAGGAGTATTCCTACTCAATCTTCATTTCTCTTTGTAGAGCATTACTTGTAGCACCAACAAATCATGAGTTTTTATTCTGTCATATTTGGTTACTAATCAAAGTCCCCCAAGTTTTCTGCATTTTTTTAACCAACAATTAATACAAATCAGTCCTTAACTCTTTTTCTTTTATGGATAAATAAATCAGCCCTAACATATTACGACTCCACAGTCCAATCATAGGCTTGCAAACCTCAAACTACCGCTTCATCACCTTATTCAGTTATAAAATGCATATGATACTGAAATTGCCTTTAGCTGACTGATTACTAACTATGGTAGAGTCAGAATAATTGGATATCCAATAAGGCATCATGTGCAACGAGATCAGATTACAGACATACAGAAAAAGAAAAGCTCGCATGATTTGACCTTAAGCCAAAGTGAAAACTCATGTAGAGGCACCACCGAACAAATACACGGGTCAACAATCTTATCTTTGGTGATATTTTAAAAAGTCAAGAGAAAATTCAATTCATCAGAGCGGTTGAATTAGAAAGTCCGACCCAAACAGTAAAATTTCCTAATAAAATAACATTCACTGATTTATGGGATGTCCTTTTAGAGGAAACAAATCAACAAAGAAAGTTTAGGTGCTGGAATTAGTTGCATCGTATCTTCACTATTAATTATATTACCATCAAATCCAGCTATTTTGGCGTATTACCGAAACTTTCTTCACCAAATATTGTTGTATAATTATTGGTCATTGACAAATACCCCGTTCCAGAAACACCCAAAGTTGCCCTCTTCGTCATCAAATTATCAGACTCCAAATACTTCATTTTTCACCTTTTTTTTTATATTTGGGAGGTCAAAAAGCACAGAGAGCATAATCTATGCCATAAATTATAAAATCTTAGCATACTTCACTTGCAACACGTGGGAGTCTTAAGCATGCGTTGACAAGGGTCATCAAATATGATGTGTAGGAGTCCAACACTTACGGGACGTTAAACTTATATCTCAGTGACGCCGAAGAAATGTAAAGAAGACCTTTACTTTTACTCTTTTTGGGTTATATACATTTCTTCTACATGCTGGGTTGGCATGAAGGTGGGGGAGAAAAAAACTATTAACACTTAAGACCCTGTAGACTCGGGATCTAGTATCACAGCACATCAATTTTTTCAAGGGTGTTCTGAAGGTGGGGAAGAAAAAAACTATTAACACTTAAGACTCTGTAGTAACTCGCGATCTTGTATCACAAGACATCAATTTTCTCAAGGGTGTTCTGACCTATGAGAGCAAGCCTTGGCGCAACAGGAGTTGCTCCTTTGGTAACTTGTAGGCACAGGTTAAAATGTGGAAACTGCCTCTTTGGAGAAATGCTAAGGGAATTTTGCATACAGTATGCGCCCAATCGCCCGTAACCTCGCACTAGGCCGAAGCACTTTGTACACAGGTTAAGCCCGCACTTAGTGGTGTTCAAACTATGTGGCCTTTTACTTACCAGGACTAAGTTATACATGAACAATTCAGGATACCATCAATAAACAATTCAACACTTTGTTCGGATCAAACAGTTAATAATACTTTCATCAGAAGAAAGATACTTCCACTCCAACACAAAGACACCCAGACTATCATAAAAAGTTCCTGTGGTCACATTTTGCTACCTTGGTTTAGAAGCCTACTGCATATAGGCAGTATCTGCATGAATGGCCCCAATTTTTGCCTCTCTCCCAATAAATCGGCCAAATATCTGCCATTTCGAAGCAGCCAAATCAGAGGTTAGTAGCGAAAGATGCATCTAGAGCTCTATTTATAAATAATTGGCCAATTGAAATAGAGATTCGGACGTAAATACTAATCGGGCTGCAGAGGTGGACTTGACAAGAGGTTAAACATACAACTATCTTATTAAAAAACACTAATTCACCATGTAGGTTAAACATACAACTATCTCGAAGTAAATACATGTAGTTGAAAAGTTATTACAGTCATATATTTATATTACAGAAGTTTGAACCAATTATCACAAATAGTTGTAGGTTCAGTGGCATTTTGCACCTATTTGCTTAAAATCTTGGATCTGCCTATGTATCTTGGAGAGACTTTGTACAACAGAAAAGGGATCCTAAAGTGTCACCACATATAAGAACAACAAGAAGCTAATATTCTACGATCATAAAGATTATATAATGCACACAAAAACAGATCCAGACCCAACATACAAAACAAGCAGCAAAAGATGAAAAGTGAATCGAAACAAGAAAATAGTAACTGAAAGAGAATCAAGATTTGACCTTTCACGATCTGTAAGAGAAGAAGACCTCTGAAGTGGAGCATGGATTCCAGTAGGAGAGTACTGGAAATAACTCCCAGGGGGTATTCTATTCTCCATATTCATCATCTGATAAAAACCCAACTTTTCCCCTACATATATACAATAATAAAGAAACAATCTCTTTTAGTCAACAAACTTTTCAATACAAACATATAACAAAAAATAATGTTCTTACTGGGAACAGCTGTGTTGATGGTTAAGGCAAAAGATGAAGGTGGGGGAAGAGAAGCTGAAGTCTGCTTCCCCCCTTTATTGGACCCTTGAGTTGTTGGTGTGGGGGAGGGGGGAAGAAAGAGACTGCTTAGTGAGAAAAACTCCTATAAATACTAATGGCTGGCTACACTACCATTAGAAAAAGGGTGTGTGCAAATGTAGTAGCAACCTTTTTTAGCACCATCACATATATTTTCTTTTTACAAACACTTTTACAGGGTGGATGATTGTTACGTATCGTTTCATAATGTATCGTATTGTACTGTATTGTATTGTATTGTATCGTTTGACGAATACAATTTTTGGATAGATTGTGTTATTTTGGCATCGTTTCATGGTGTCACACACCAATAATATGATGAATAAACTTGCATATTATAAAGAAAAACTATGATACGTTATATAAAAAGGTAGGGTAAATGATAAAATAAAATTATTTAATAATAATGAAGGGTGAGATTGAGAGAAAAACACAAGAAAACGACGCGGCCACACCAAATCGGTCGTTACATAAAGTGACACATTTCATTGTTACGTAACGATGGTTTTAATGATACGATACAATAAAATTTAAGTAACAATCAAAACAAACATTGTATTTAAAGTAACAATACGATACGATACAATAGGTAACAACCATCCAAACAAGTTGTTAAAAAAATTAAAAATTGCAAAAAAATTTAATATAGAAATTTTAAATTCATACTAAATGTTTATTGCTAATAATACAAATTGTATAGAAAAAATGAATGTTGAATTATAACCACCAACAACAACCACAACGACCCAATAAAATCTCACAAGTGGGGTCGGAGTAATATGGTGTGTACGCAGACCTTACCTCTACCCGGGACAGAGAAGTTGTTTCCGATAAACCCTCTATCAAGAAGACGAAAAGAGACTTGAATTATAACCATAGTAGTGAATTTTAAACTATAACATGTAAAACTAAAAATAATTTTTTTATTATTTAGTATTGACATCAAAATAAAAATAGATTAAAATTAATGGATCGGCATGTAATGGTAAATTTTTCTTACTTCTAATGACAACTTTGTATATGAATATGGAAATAATACAACCTCTTGATGTACAAGTTTGGTATTATGTCCTTTTTTTAACTTAATTTTGCCACTATCATATTACTAATTTATGTATCCACATTATATAGAATGCCTAAGATTCTATTCCAGCAACAACACCACCAAAATAATAATAATAATAATAATAATAATAATAATAATAATAATAATAATAATAATAATAATAATAATAATACTGACATGTAAATGATAATAATATCTAGGAGTATACTGTCTTTTTGGCCCCTTTCCTATTTTAGCATTCATTTTTCTTTTCTTTTTCTTGTTGTTCTTTTATGTCATTTTCTTCTTTTTTGTCAAGTATCACTTACAATAATATTCCTTTGCATTTGGAATAAATGCTAAATATCTTTTCCAGTTGTTTCAATTTGGTTTTGATTTGCTTGAGCTTGCATGCGTGCTCTATATGGACAAATCGACATTTTTGTGTTTCATATTCATAAACTATATAATCATTTCCCTCTTTTTGTAAAAATAAAAAATAAAAATTGATTGCATATCTAAAAGTTTTAGTTATATCGGTGTGATCTAATTAAACGTGTTATAGAATTTAACGTAAAATTTATACGAATATTTAATAAGAGTGACTGGTCTATTTAGATTTTCTTTTTTATGACGAATCTATTTAATATTATTATGAAGTGAAGTATTTCGTTTAGTTGAAACGTGGTCTCTTGTAAGAAAGAGACTTTGAACAACTATGATAAAGCATGGGGAATGCATCTATCCATATCTTATAGTATTAATAGACATTCACAATACCACGTATTGCATTAATGATCCACAGATCAATAGAATGCACTTTTCGTTTAATAATAATTGATACCCAACATCACATTAACTCGTGTTAGTTCTCTCAAAATACAGTGTGTATAGCTAACAAATTTATGATAGATTTCTTTTATTTGTAAGTAAAATAATGTTTAGGGGAAAATGCATAATGGAAATGTCCATTTACTCCTAGGCGAAAAAGAAAGTTCTCACTAAAATGCATATGTGCATATATGAATATTGATGTAACGACCCGGCCGGTCGTTTCATGAATTACCGCTCCATTTTTCCTATTTCTGCTTCTTTATGTCTTGTTCAGTTGTATTATATGGTATCGGGTTGGTTAGTTCGGGTTCGGAGTGGTTTTGTAAAGAAATGAGACACTTAGTCTCTTAAGTTGGCCATTTAGTTGGAAAAGTCAACCGGAATTTGACTTGTGAGTAATCGATCTCAGAATTTGTTTTTTATGATTCGGATAGCTTCGTGAGGTGATTTCGGACTTAGAAGAGTGATCGGAATGTAATTTGGAAGTCCGTGGTAGATTTAGGCTTGAATTGGCGAAATTGGAATTTTGGCATTTCCGGTTGGTAGTGGAGATTTTGATATAATGGTCGGAACGGAATTCCGGAAGTTGGAGTAGGTTCGTTGTGTCATTTGGGACGTGTGTGCAAATTTTCAGGTCATTCGGACAAGGTTTGATAGACTTTTTGATCGAAAGCAGAATTTGGGAGTTTTGGAACCCTTAGGCTTGAATCCAAGGGTGTTTTGGTGATTCGATGTTGTTTTGAGTGTTCCGAAGGTTGGTATAAGTTTGAATAGTATTATGTGACTTGTTCGTATTGTTGTTTGAGGTCACGAGGGCCTCGGGATGGATTCGGAAGGTTGTTCGGAAAGTTTGGCTTTGGAAATGAGCAGCTAAAGTTGCTGCCCCTGTCATAACCGCACCTGCGGATTGGAGACCGCAAGTGCGAGATCGCATAAGCGGAAGGGCAGCCGCAGATGCGGCCAGGAGCTAAAGGATCAGAAGTCGCAGATGTGAAAGCTTGAGCGCACCTGCAAGACCGCAAAAGCGGAAGGTGAGGCGCAGGTGCGGTCCCGAGAACTTAAGTGAAAACCGCATAAGTGGTTGGTTTGACCGCAGAAGCGATACTGTAGGAGCGGAAAGAGGACCGCTGGTGCGAAATCCCTGGGTCAGAAAGTATATAAGGTTTCCTTCGCGAATTTTTGCTAAGTTCTCCATTTTTTAAGATGGGAAGTAAGCTAGGGCAGTGATTTTCAAGGGGAAATCGAAGATTATCAGTTGGGTAAGCTACCTAAGCTTCATTACTTATGTTTATGACCATTTTTCCTTTGTTTAATCATGGTATTAGTGGAAATTAAGGAAGAAAATTGAGGGATTAAAGCTTGATATTGGAGAGCTTTGAGTGGGGATTTGAGGGGCCATTTGAGATTCGATTTTGATGCTTTTGGTATGAATAGACTCGTGGGAGGATAAAGATTCTATTGATATAATTTTTATCGGGTTCCGAGACGTGGGCCCGGGGGTCGGGTGGGACCAATTTCGGGTTTTTTAATATATTTGATTATTTTTGCATAGGCTTCGTTCCCTTGGCATATATTGACGTTATGGTTCTGATTTTGGATAGATTCGACGCGAGTTGAGGCTGAGTCGAGAGGCAAGGGCGTCGCAGAGTAGTATTTCATCCGGTTTGAGGTAAGTAATTATTGTAAATCTGAAGGGTATGAAACCCCGGTATATCGTATTATTTTGATAAATGAGGTGACGCACATGCTAGGTGATGAGCGTGCGGGCGTGCACCGGTAGGGATTGTGACTTGATCCGTCCTGCAGCGGCTATTAAGCTGCGTATTTGATTTGAAATCTTATGATATCCCATATTTTTAGTGATTGGTACTATATTTTGGGTTGTACGCCGTGTTTGGGACCTTGTGTCGACCTGTTTAGACCCTTAGGGGTATTTTTACTACTTTCCTCACTCTATTTGATTTGAAAACATATCCTCAGTCATGTTTTACCTGTTTAATTGTTTAAATCTGGTTCCATCACTCTATTTCTTAATACATAAAAACTGTTTGGGCTGAGTTTCCCTGATTTTCACTGATATGCCCGAGTGGTCGTGAGGTTATTGACTGAGAGAGGTTGAGGACCTAATGGTGAGGATTATATATATATTATGGATCGGGCTGCACGCCACAGCGATATTATATATATGGATCAGGCTGCACGCCGCAGCGATATACATATGGATCGGGCTGCATGCCGTAGCAATATATATTAGATCGGGTTGCGCGTCGTAGCAATATGACGCTTGGGATGTAGGAGCCCCTCCGGAGTCTGCACACCCCCAGTGAGCGTAGTCGACTATAAACTATGGATCGGGCTGCACGCCGCAGCGGTCATTATTATTATTATTATTATTATTATTATTATTATTATTATTATTATTATTATTATTATTATTATTATTATGAGATATTATTGAGCCAGAGTGCTGAGTTTGAGTATTGTTTGATGAGAGCTGAGTCATGAGTGACTGAAAGGCTTACCCGAGAGGCTATACTTATGAGTGATACCTTGCACGAGAGGCTTGTTTATGACTTTTTGTTGCTTTCACTCTTCTTTTATACTGAGCCTCCGTTGAAAAAGGTTTTCAAAGGATCTTTAATCGAAACTAAAGTTTTACGAGATAACTGGCTATTGAGTTGCGGATTTTGACTTGATATTTCTATTGAGATTTCTTGTATGATTTTAATTGCTCGTCACTGCACTCACCTTATTTACTTTAGTTACTTACTGAGTTGGCGTACTCACGTTACTTCCTTCACCTTGTGTGCCGATCCAGGTGCCCGAGCATTAGAGTGAGAGCTTCCAGCACTATCAGAGTTTATCCTGAGATCGCAAGGTAGTTGCACGGCGTTCGCAGCCCTGTCTTCCTCCTTCCTATCTTAGCGTTTTGTTATTTCAGACTATTTTGTATTATTCAGACAGTTCTTTGGGTTGTATTTAGAGGCTCATGACTAGTGACATCGGATTCAGGCTGTGTTAGTATCATTTTGTACTAGTTTCCGCATATTTCTATTGATTTATTTGTGGCATATGAAGAACTGAGACTTAATCGGTTTTAGAAAATGATTTTTATAAAAAGAACTCGATATGGTAAATATTGGATTTGCTTGCCTAGTACTGTGATAGGCGTCATCACGACCAA